GCCATGAAAAGCCTGCGCTGGGCCTCAACAAGGCCCGGTCAGGAGGGCCGCGGGGCCAGCTGAGCGTCTTCAATGGCTGGGAGAAGGGAGGCAGGGCCCCCAAACCACAGGTTACCCCCCCTCCCACTGTAAAACGCCCCCCTATTTCCACACAGACAGGATCATGACATGACAATTATTCTGTCAGAAACCACAGCACAGTGATACTCCGCGTGGCCTTAAGCAGCACAAAGCCTTTCCCTTCTTGTTTTTGCCTTCTTCATCTTTTCGAATCCCGCGAAACACTCGCAAGTCCGAAAAGCCACTCCGTCCTACACTCTACAAACCAAATCGCCACTCCGGTCACTGTTTACACGGTAACCAAGCAAATACTTCTCCTTGATTTTACTCCTTTTATTTTTGCAGCCGATCCCTGCTTACAATGAAGGAGAATGACAATTAGAGTTTAATTTTTTCAAGATTCTTTGCTCTGTCTGGATTATCCATAAAAAACACGTCACACAGGTGCCGTCGGCCAGCGTACACAGCCACCTTCCAGCCTGTCCCATCGTTTCTGTTCCTCTTTTTTATTTACACTTTGATTCACTGAAATTTATGGCCACACATTAAGTGTCTTTCCATCCATGAGGTAAAAGCCAATAAATGGGTTAACGTGCACATTTGTAACTAAAAGGTTGACCTTGGGGTCCTGCTTAAGTTTTCCAAAAACTCACTCAGATTTGGCTTGAGTGAACCAAGAGATACCAAATGTAACATCAGGAGGACAGTGACTCATCCACATGACACCACCACTAGCATTGCAACAAGAACAACAACATTAATAATAATAATAATAATAATAATAATAATAATATCATAAGATCACCATCTTTCCACTTCGTTGATGCTAAATAAGAACCACAGAAAACGTTTGCCAGTCGTCTTAAGAGTGGTATGTCAAAATTTGAAATTGATGTGTTTTTCTGTAGCACAAGCAGACCGAAAAACCTGTACGGGTAAGTTATTTTTTGTTGTTGCTTTTCGTTTTGTAAAATCTATTAATATTGAAAAGGGCCATTCGTGTTCTGAAAGGTGTACATAGAAACATACATGGAAAAATTACGCACAAAAAATAACATACGCTCTATGAGCTTTATCAAAATGGGACGCTTATCAGACAGATAAGACAAACCGACTGAGAAAACAAACACGGCGCCATTCTCAAAGCCCAGATCTACTACATAAATAAAGAGGGTAAACACACTTTGTCAGTCAGATATAGCCAAATATATATATATATATCAAACGTGGACTAGCTACTGGCAAAGCAAGAACGGAATGATACAGAAAAAACGGAAAATAATTAATTTTAAGGTTTTTCCCCCGATGTGAATAACGGAAGGAAAAAGTACCTTTGTAGAAAAAAAAAATAAACCTTCAAACAAACAGCTTCAAAGGGATTACCAAAGATTACAACAACTCAGCTGGTAAACAAGCTCATTTAAATAATTAGCATACTTAGGGAATCCATTCTTTATGCATATTTAATTAGAACTTTAATGCAATACAGAATATAAAATACATTAAGCGCGGCGCGGACTAGGGGCACCGCGCGCTCCCTGGGTTTCATCCGGAGATGAAAGCGCCCGTCGGCGGTCCCGCGCTCCGGCTGCGCCGCGCGCTCCGCCACTTTAGCCGCGACGGTCGCTCTCGCATCCCAGGAAATCTGTGTCTCAAGTTACTATTCCTCTGTGCAATTTTATTTTTTAATATTTCGCCTTCATGAAAAATAATCAGCTGTTTAAATAAAATAATCGCAGTACTGAGGACGCGACCTACTGTGATGTATAAATAAATACATTTAACAGCGGAACAACAAACTATTTGCCTGCTAATAAAAAATTGAGAAACATCATTTAATAATATAATGTTGTGACAGATGAATTAATAAGAAATCGCGGAATTATTTTTTAATAACCAGTAGCTTTGATAAATGTATCGCTAATTGTGTATTTTTTACAGAAATAACTCCATAACTCCAACCACAAGCAACACGTCTCTATGCGCACGAAGTCGCGCTGATGCACGCACTTTTTTTTTACATAATCACATGCAAGTGCTTCGGCAACTCCAGCATTGTTTTAATAATTATTTTTTCATGTTATGTCTTCAGCCTGGGTGCTGGAGGTCGTCTGCTCGGTTGGCTCCGCGAAGCATTCCGTTGCCCACCCCCCGTCACCCCGGGGCTCCGTCGTTTACCGGTCGTTCCCCCCGGCTTTCTCCTATCCCCTCTTCCTCTTCTCCCTCCCTCCTCGGCCCGGCAGACATAAAGAATACCTCAAGCAGCCGAAGCAGTCAAGCGGTCCATCCGCTCCCCCCGCGGACACCTCCCGCAGCCGAGAAGTTCATTAAGTTTTATGAGCTTCCCCAAGTCACTTCTGCTTACAAGCCTCACAAAGGCCGCAAATCTAGCAAAGCATCATGTACGCTATTAGCGAGCGGCAGTAAATGAATGTCATTTAGGGGAGGCTGTTTGTTTTGGCCATTCGTCCTTTTTTGATCTACCTCTGTGGTCATTTTACTTTTTTCTTTTTGACAGGTGCCGGCATGATTTCCCTGCACGCGCCTCTGTACCACTCCAGGACAGGACCTCCACTTGCATGCGACACACGGGTGCTACACAACCGATCGCCAAGCACAATACATTGATCCTCATCGTTATTGATAGTCTTGACCTTTTCCGATGACCCCCCAGGGAAAAAATACCCTTCGGGCAAAGGACAACCAAACGAGACAAGAAAAGTACCATTCTGAAACAAGAAACTAACTAAAGATATGCAGGACAGGCGCACAGTTCAAATACCTTCAAGCGTAAATGAGTAATTTATTAACATTCCGTTAAATTTAGTCGGCTAACTATTAATGTTGTCATAATAATAAAAACTGCATATTATGACCGAGGGTTTCGCAAATGTATATATGAAAGGCAACTTAGGCCTACTGAACAGACTATTACACGGGTATCTTAAGTGAAACGTAATCTTCCAGGTAACAAGTTTGTAAATTTTCAGGAATTATTTAAGAAAAAATATACTCATAGTCAACTAAAACGACTTCATTTTAATTTATATGTAATACTTTTTAGGCATTTACCATCCCTAGTTACACGACAAACGATTTGGGTGTATGAACCTTTAAAATGACAAATTAGAGAGATTTCGGTTCTTTCATATGGATTCCCACAAACGCTTAATTCTTCGATAGCCAGCAATTAAAATCGCTGAAGAATAACAAGGCCATAAAAAACAAAATTATTTTGCATTCAACATTACATCACATAGTATTATTTTTGGAATGCAAACTATTGATCCTAATCAACACGCAGACTTATTTTGTTTGTAATAAAAACAAACACGTACTTATCCCATGAATTGTACATTTCCTTAAAATATTGCTCACGCATGATACGTTGTCATTATCTCGTGGTGCACTCTTACAAACTTCTGCTAAGATGTTTAATGCCTCTTTTAACAGTTACCACACAAGGTATTAAAGCCACTTTTCACTATAGCCTACCCTTTGCAACGTCACATATAAAATATCATCACGCATTGTGGTATTTCTGGCACACGTTCGTGCCATCGAGATGCACCGGGTGCACAGCTTTTGCATAAATCGGCTTCTATTTTTAACATATTTGTTACATCAAATGCCAGAATAAACCCGCACTAAATATACAAACGCATTGCGACACTTTCTAACATGTCTTAAAGAGTAAATATTATAAACAGCACTATAACTATATGGTGAATAGAGTAGGTAACAAAATTTGGGGTTTTGGAGTATTATGCCGTCACGAGTATGTCATAATTGCTTTCTCGGAACACATTTCAGACGTGGGGTCTGCACTATATTATTTCAGCTTGATATTAATATGTATGCATAACGTTTTCTCGTGTGATACGTCTATGGGCATGCTGATAGGTGAGCCCACCAAAGGCCTAAGGAAAGACAAACCGCAGTCCGCGGAAACGCACTGACATACATTTAGTATATGGCGACGCGCAAAGGAATTGATGTTGCCGTGCGCGGTCACGGCGCTCCGTGCACTGATGTGTCACGTCGCGTGCCCAGGTTATCAGTGACCGACAAAGGTGCGACGCCAAAAGCCGCACGTGGCACGCGTGCCAACAGGCTGCATGAAATTAATTTTAGGGCGCCGTACGACAAAGCGCTTCAACTTCCGTTCAGCACACTTTTCCTATTTCTCTGGCTCCCGAGCTGAAATTAGTCTTTGGGTCATTTAATTTGCTTACACTTAAATGGCATCACGTTATTTGGCAAATATTTGAGCTTAAGTTTATGGAAAGTACAGACGCAAAGAATGACAGTATGTGCCAAATGCAATTTACAGGTAAGAACAACATGAAAAACCCAAGTACAAATTACATATTAAATTACCCCTTGTATATGCTTAAATATATAAGCCACATTTTGTTTAACTATTTTCCCTTAAATCTATTACAGGGGATACGCGTAGTGCACCTACGTATAATTATAATGAGTAATGCCTCCGTGTTAAGGTTTACCTATAAACTCACAGTAGTACCTCGCGGTGTAAGAAACAGCGAGATCGCTTCACTGTACGCGGGTAGGCGCAGGTCGGCCGCCTCTCCACGCCAAATCATTTGACATCGGCCAACATATCTTGGAATAGGACGCGGCCACCCGCGATTCCGCAGCAAAATCAAAGCGCTGGCCGAACAGACGAGGGCTCTTTCTTAAGCCTATTTTCGGTCGCAGAAAACAAGCGTGTATCTTCCGTCTGCAGTTTCTGAAAGCGAAGCGAGTGGGAAATCTCACTGTGTTGTGTTTGTAATTGCTCATCTGACCAAGAGGGTGTAAGGGACAAAAAGAGCAAAGATGGCGGTGTACAAGCACTCCGTGGCACGGCGCTGCTGCCTCCGCGTAAACCAGCCGGTACTTATCGGGATCCCCGGCACACGGCGCGTCGCTCTTACCTGTTTTCTCTTTAATCTCGCAGAGCACACTGAAGAGAGCCGGTTTCATCCTGTGGCAGTTCAGTCCATGTTTCCTGTTCCAGTACAAGAACAAAAAATATTAATTTAAGTCCATTATATCGCAATTCAGATAATGCATTATTTCTCTGCACTCCAAGAGTATTTGTGTTTTTTGCCTGCGCTTCGCTCATAATATAAGCTATTCACGCACGTGTGCACAATTACACCGTGGCATGATCAGTGGTAAGCCATTTAAAAAAAAACTTACAGAACAAATAAATATGTACTATCGACCTAGAAGAATATAAAAAAATACATTGCACACAAGTAGCGTTTTATTATTTACTACTACTACTACTACTACTACTACTACTACTATTATTAGGCCTATTATTATTATTATCCACTTAATTTCATTGTATGATAAAGGTAATGCAAAGCTTAAACAGGTCTACAGGACGCACGGGCATTAATTTACACAAAGTAACAAAGTTCTAGCTGTTTAGAACTTTTCTTTTATGCATCAATATGGAATGTGACATTTCAGCTTATATATATATATATATATATATATATATATATATATATATATATATAGACACACACACACACGTGTATGTAGCCTATATATATATATAGCCAGTATATAACCTATTTTGTTGAATTAAATGTGACAATGGACACGAGGTGGGTAACACATATTACTCTGATACAGTAATTCGACGAATTCAGTACCATGTGACATTGTGTGTATGTATAATATATTATTTAAAATAATTCCAGACATCTGGGTAACAACTATAAATATGAAGTACGACCAATTTTCTATTATAATTCTCACACGGGGACACTACTCATATAAAACGGTATAATATACAAGCAAATAGTAAAATAAACGTATTTGGCAGCAACAATTATAACTGTGTATAATGTTAAAAAAGAAACCAACTTTGCTTGCGCCTCATCCAGACTTTGGTCAGTTATGGTCATTATTTGATGCAGAATGTCCCCGATATCTTGTTTTCTTCCGTCCCCATCGGCCCCTTCGTGTCCGTGCGGAGGCGGCAATGCCATGCCGCCTTGGACCGAATGGCCAGCCAAACTGACACCGCCGAGCGCTTGCATTATCCGGGCTTGCTCGTCCATAGTCTGCCGCAACACAATCAATGCGCTTCGCGGGAGCCTCGCTAAGAGAACAGGAGCTTGAAAAAAATCACATACAAAGGCAGTGATTGTATGTGCACAGCGAATGAAGCAAAAAGAAATTCAAATATTAAACAATTTCGCTAAATCATAAAAAGGTATAAACTGAGTTACTGTATGCGATCGTATAAAAATGCGTGTCCCAGTGAGCACTTTTTCTTCTTTCAATATTTTCTTCCTCCTCGATTTGAAGTATACAATATATTTGCAATATTTTTTGCTCGTAATTGCAGAACCAATATTTATAATTTTATATATGACAGCTAGATGACAGCCACTGACCCTCGGATCCTGTTCGAATCTTCTTGGCAATTTGTCTTTTATTCTTTGACGTGATGTGTTGGGTATGACTGCTGAAGCTCCTTGCAGATTTCTTTGATATATTTGTATTCTTCTTGCGATTATGTCTCCCGGCGAAATTCTTCTTGTAAACTTGTTCAAATCCCAATTTAAATCAGCAGGAAACAAACCATCCAAGGCTAAGTGGGAAACAATTAATGAAACAAAAAAAAAATAATAAATAAAACCAAGCAAATTAAAATATATAAGCCATGTGCAGCGCACGGACACTTGCAAAATATAGCATATCGCCGATGTCCAGAATTAATGGGAAAAAAATTAATGTCTAATACGTGCAGCAATAATAATGACGGCGATAGCAATAAAAATAAAATATTTCTTTAAAAAGTTTTAGCGGATTAGTGGTAAAAAATATAAAAAAGAATAGAGACAAATTAATTACACGCTGTAAAGCAATGCGCAAAAATATCTGCCGGCTGAAATTTATGAGCGCGAGTCTCTGACTGCGCGTGCTTTATGTTGTTTGATGGCAGCGGCGGTGAGCGATTGACAATGTGCCAATGCCACTCACTCAGTACTCAGTGCAGACGTGTCAGAACAGGAGCAGGCAAAAAAAAGAAAAAAAACAAAAAAAAAAAACACGCGAAATCCGAAATAAAAATGCACGCTCCGCCCATCAGAGGAGGGGTCTATGGCCCTGTCACTTCTTCTCGCCGCAAACACCGTAAACAAAAACACCGAAGTAACACTTGATGATAACTGTGGCGATAATGGAAACGAGCACGAATAATGCGATGGGCGACCGGAGTCCCACTTTTCTTTCGCTTCACTTGAGCGTGCAGCGAAATGCCATCGCGATCACGGCCCTAGCAAGCACTTGCCATTAAACCGACAAAAGAAAGTGCATACCCGGAGTTTTATATTGTTTGGTAAAAAACTGATAATGAATTGCACGGGTTCTTCGCTTTTCAAGACCATGGTACGGTCGGCTCTACCTAGCCTTGCGCACAAGGTAAGTAAGCAGAGGCCATGTTTATAATATTGCGAGTGAACCTTCTCTCGCCAATCAGCACTTAATCTTTGCGCGACTGACGGGCCGCATCACCTATCGGTGAGGAGAATTTGACTCCTAAGCCCGCCCAGAGGACCCACGGCCTTCAAAATGGTTGTGCAGACGGCCAGTAACTTCTGATTGGCCGTTGCTAGGGGTGACATCGACTGCACAAGCAGGCGGCGCTGCTCCGCTCTTCTCTACAGTTGCTATGGCAGCAGACAAGTCGATGAGCTGGATGTAAGAATACAGAAGCTTCGTTTTTAAGCATCCCAAAAAACACCGTGTTCGTACTGGACTGCAAACGTGTGTGAAAGCGCTCCTTAATCATATTCGCTCAATCAAGTAATTAACTCAGAACAATTGCACTGGCATGTTAATTCTTTTGTTCATAAAAATGTTTGTAATGCTTGGGCATATTTTCATCTCTACGATAGTAAAATACTGTACTGTAACAAGGAATACATCTTTAAAACTTGCAACGGCTTGTATAAAGCATGCTGATAAAGTGCATAATTACGTAGCTGGGTTGAAGTGGCATTTAACAGTCGTTATCTCAACACGTATTCTGAACTTTTCGTAACATATTAATGTACATTAGTAACACTAGATAGAATGATTTAGTGTTGCAATTTACAAGAGTAAGAAATGTTACCGAAAGTTGAAAAATAATAAAAACATTTAATTAACAGTTATTGATCAAGCAGTGTGCAAGTGCAAAGCATGTTTTCGCAAACGGTAGCTGCTGAACAGCACTGTGACTTTTAGGTGTAACTGTGTAATTATTTGACGCATAAGCGAGTAGAAGATGTAAGTAGGATTGATGTGGGACCGTGGTTGACTGGTGTTTGGGGATAGCAGTTTGTTTAGTTGTCTGGGGTTCACCTGGACCAGATCAGGTAGATATAGCTAAGGCTAGCTGGGTGGGTCCCACACCCATGCAAATGGACTGGGACATACATCTTGGATACCAACTTGTGTCTTAAATTAAGATCTCCGTTTTATTTGCATAATCTGAATACAGCAGCTAGTTTACCATAGAACACCGTACTACAGAACATAGGGAACGTTTTTATAAATGAATGCTTTACATATTCAATGCCTGCAAAAGCACAATTTATGGTTATATATATATTACAAATTAAAAGCAAATTTAGAATAATATATGTACATACATGCGCATACGATCTTATGTTGAATGATGATTTTTACGGTTTCTCCTTGATTTATGTCTCATTGAACCCACTTAACAATCCAGCTATCCAGTGGGCAAAAAGAGCCACAGCATTATGGGATGTATCTCATCTCTGTTACCCTCAAGGTTATGCTGAGTGAAGCATAGTGCCATCCCAGCCCAAAAGTTTGACATATAGGATAAAATGCATGCTTTTATTAGGCAAAGTGAGCCACTAATTCACCTCCCCCCCCCCCCATGCTGTGGGATCCATTATCGGTGCAACCGGCGCAGTTAGCTTAGCAAACTCCTGCATCTGTAAAGCCCAAACAAAAGCCCGACACTGACTTACGATAAATGTCAGCGCTGGTGAGTAAATCGACAGTCATTACTTTATCCTCCTTAACACGCTAATATCTTTTCCTCACATTGTCCTCCTTTATGTCCTCATATCGCCATGCCATCAAAGCAGTTAAAAGCCGGGAAAAAATTAAAGTGCTTCACCTGAATGTTTGGATGAGAAAAGCAGTTTTGGCGCAGTTGTGGTAAGCTCTATGCCACGGCGCGCGCGGCACGGCACGCACATTCACAGCATGTTTAACAAATGACATCAAATTCTAAATAAAAAAAATGGGCAAAAACCATAGTTTCCAAGATCAGTGATGCAGACATGCAGTAACAATTTTTTATAGTGGCTATAAATAATTACTACATGAAAAAAAAAACGGAGAAAAGAGACACTTTATATATACTTATACTTGGTTATAGTGTCACAACATGCTCACATACGACGTCAGCATGGAAGGAGATTTTAACTAGATGTTGATTGGGCCCACAAGACCATACAAGTAAAAAAATATCAAATTACGGTCATTAAGCACCTTTTTTTTGTTTTTGGTTAGGTAACTTTTTATGTATAAACAGAAATTTGAAGCTGTTAATCACAACATTATGAGTACCACAGCCTACTACGCTATGTGCGCCTATATGCATGTTTGTGAGGAGGTGAGTTTTCTGTACACAGAGAAGCTGTGATGTGCATTAAAATACATGCACATTGTGTAATGTGGGCTCACTGTGACTCATTTGACATAAAGCAATGCAGAAAACTTAAAATGGATCGGTGAAGAAAAAAGATAGAAAGACTCTGGTGTAACGAAAAAATGCAAAAAACAGACCCTGTGGTCCTGCAAGGGAGCAATCAGTCGCCTTAATGCAGCCTGTGCGTCTCGCACACAGACCAGGACCTCTGATGGAACCAGGAGTAATTATCTCAAATGGGAGCCATAGCAGGGAAATAAAGCTGTTAATCTGAATACATTTAAAAAGTCAATCAGGCAGTTCTGTGGATGCTTGAGCGCATGATGTTACACTGAGAATTAGTGAATGTTGGCACCAATTCACAATCCATGGTGCATGAATTGATTGTGAAGCCCTGCAGGCCTCCTGTCCTGACACACTGTTACAAGGGGAATTAACATTTGATAATTAAATAGCAAATAATCAGATATGCATGGAATAAAACTTTCCTTTGGGAAAGTCGTGTCGATTTGAACCAGACAAAATATGGTATGGGGGTGGGGGTGCATAAGAGACAGTCCTATTTCTGTTCTCTTTTGTATTTAAGGGAGGATTTTCTCCTTAAGCAATTTTTTTAACAGCTGGATAGACCCGTATTGATTTTAAGGACTTAACATCTTGAGCTTCATGTTTGATATCTTTCACACTTCCTGTCAAATGCCACACTATGGCCATACTTTTGTCACTAGTAAGCGGGGAATATGTAATAAGGCGAGCTTTTCGCGTAAGGGATTTGCCTGCATTTGCCTTCATCTTTATGTTGTCAGTTTAAACATCAGATCCGGTCACATGCCCTGGGCCTTTGCTGCTCACTTGCTAAGGGTGTGATAGTGTGTGGTCTGGCCTGAGCCAAAAAAGACCAACACATCTACCTCTTCCTGCACGTGTCCATGTCATCGGCTGAGGGGGTGATGCACAGCCCCCGTCATATAATCAGTGGAAATCTGCATAATCATATATCTCCTGGAGCATTAGGACTATGGTGCATTTGTGTGCACATGGATGTGTGTGTGCGCACGCATGTGTCTGCGTGTGCGTGTGCGTGTAAGTGAAAAACAGCATTGCTAATTCGTAGAAATGATTCAGAGCAGTCCGAGTGCCGAGCGCCTTCCCTTATCTCAGCCACAGCACATGCGCACATGCACAGCGCATGCGCACATGCGCAGTCTTTCACGTATCTTGCCGCTTTCTTTTGCCACCCAGAGAGGTTGATCACGCAAATAAATTAAATTACACAGGAATGACTATTTGCATCTGCGTTTTGTGTATTATGCCTGTTTAACTTTGGAAGCTATTTTGAAAATAATATACCCAAATATTTTAACTTTATTTAAACTTTTTAAAGCTGCTTTAGCTGTGTTTTGGATTTCTAACGAAGAATTTAATTTTGGGCACCACTTTGTAATGATGGCCCTTATAAAGGGTTTATAAATGGTTTATTATTAGGTTATTAATTAGGTTGTAAATCATTAATAAATAATTACACCACATTTTGCTTTTTATTGACTTACTACCATCTATCAGTTGGAAAAGGGAGCCTTATTATAAAGTGGTACCATATTTTGCTCGGCCTATATAAAGAAAATAATAAAACAAGGCGATGAAAGGCTCTTGAAAATTGCCTTTTGCTAAGTGCATTATTTGAAGAAATATTTTTTTTCTCCCAAGTTATAGTCCTGGTGGTTATAGTCCTGTTGGTTACAGTCCTGTTGGTTGTAGTCCTGTTGGTTACAGTCCTGTTGGTTGTAGTCCTGTTGGTTACAGTCCTGTTGGTTGTAGTCCTGTTGGTTACAGTCCTGTTGGTTGTAATCCTGTTGGTTACAGTCCTGTTGGTTGTAGTCCTGGTGGTTATAGTCGTATTGACTAGTTATTTTTTTAAACACCTATCAGTTTACTTTTGATCCTAACATGCAACATGCAATGTGAGAAATAGATCTCACGATTTGTGACTAAAAACAGGAAAGCACAGATGTAGAGATTTTAATTTGATTGGGTTTGTTGCCGCATTCAAGCAATAATGAAAGGAAGAGGATTAATTGAGGAGCAGATTCTCCGGAAATCGCTGAGAGTGCGTCATCCATCAAAAAGCGTTATTTTCAATCAGACATGGAGCCGCTTAAATATGGATTCAGAAACACTGAATGGACTGACTCAGCACTGAAGATCGAGCGGGAGGATAAACACTGTGAATTCCTTACTGCAATTCAGTCAGTTGACAAACTTTTGTGCGTTACCTAAGCGTAATAAGCCGTGCGCCCCTCTGTCATGCAGTGTTTCATTTAATCTAAGTGACTCGGTTAGGCCACAGAGAGCCCGTCATCTGCCAGGCAGCGTCAGGTCCGACTGCCGTCACCGAGAGCGTGCTCCGCAGCCTGCGTGCTTTAACAAAAAACAGAAATGCCTTTGTCCTGCTGTTTTAAAGTTCTCACTTAAAATGAACTTGCAGTGTATACCCGATATAGAGCACACGTCAAAGTGATTTATTTATATATTTTAAAGTTTATTTATAACGTGCAGCAGTTAGAAAATACTGCTTAGCATGGAAAAAGGACTTAATCACTCCCTGGAACTGCAGTGTGTGTGTGTATCTGTATCTGTGTGTGTGTCTGTGTGTCTTTGTGTGTGTCTGTCTGTTTGTCTTTGTGTGGGTGTGTGTGCGTGTGTGTTTGTCTTTATGTGTTTTTTTAATCTGAAGGTTTGTGTTGGAAGGGGGAGGGCTGCTCTGAGCTCTGTGTGAGAATGATGTACCTTGACGGGCACCAGAGCAATCAGTCCTCACTCACCCACTGCTGGCCCAACCAGGGCGGGGCAGTGAGAGAAGAGACCAGTCCCCCCTTCTGCTACCCCCCCCACCACCTTTTTAGCAAGCCGTGTGGTTTCGCTCTTGCGTACTCACTTGACCTTGAAGAGCGACGCCCATCGCACACCCAAGTTCAACGGATGGGAGTCCTGGGACCGCGGCATTTATCACCGGGGCAGTGAGCTGTCAGGAGGAGCCAGACAGGCGCTCTGCTCATGGGCCACACCGGAGCCATGCAGGGGCCACACCGGAGCCATGCAGGGGCCGCACCAGGGTCACTCAGGGGCCACTCAGGGCCCACACCTCTCCCCACCACCCAGGGCCACAACTCTGCGTGAGGCAGGAAAAAAAATAAAATCAAAATAAATTATTAAAGGAGATGCTGATGCCTCACTGTGGATGGGGGGGGGGGGGGGGGGGGTTCATTTCACACCCTCATCCTGTGCTAACGACGGCTAATAGACTAATATTGATCCTGTCGTCTTTAGGCTGAAAGTGAGGCCAGAGCCGAGTCAGGTGACCAGCGTGTGACTCTGAAGGTGGAAGCCCCCCCACACACCAACTCGCTACTCGCCAGCCATTGGAAGATGCGGCCAAGCTGATAAAGGCAGTAATGAGTTCTTGTTAGCGTCGCTTCTCCCTGACCTGACACTACAGAGAGACTTACGCAACAGCGCATGCCCCACGGAGAAGGTCCCTCAGACGGGTAACTAGGTTAGGGGTACATGCCATAATCAGGTGATGTGGATGGCAGCAGAATGCACAACATACATACAGCGCCAGTGTAACCGCATACAGGCAACACACACACAAAAGCGGCAGGCTGTGAGGTTTAAAAATATACTTTGTGTTTCAACATAATGTGTCATCGTTTGGCATTAAATGGTCACCAGGTGGCACAGCGGCAGGGATGTTGTGCAATTTGAAGATGTACCTTCTTAACACTAAATAAAGTAAAATAGTGAGTGGTTATGAATCACTTCATAGGCCACAGTTCAGTTATAGATGACCAGCTGAAGATGATGAGCTAAAGATGATGAGCTTGCGGGTGTTTTACGAAGCCCGATTCATCATCACAAACACAAAAAGCCTCACGTGAACGCTACCATCACCACGGCCGCTAATACTGTGACCGCATTACTGCTGTGAAACGAGAAGAGATCATCTGAGAATCTTCAGCCGGCCCAGGTAACACGGGTCTCCAGCTCCTCTTTGGCATCTCGCCCTGAGCCCAAACAGCGGTCATCACCGTGGCCAATTCTGATGGACGTTTTGGTCAAAATGCAACTTTTACCAGACATAGCACGTTGGCGGTGTCTGGACAGGCTGACGATCCCTGGCCCCGAGCCTCACATATTGACTGAAAATTCAGGCCCAGGAATTTCACAGACGGCTCACGCGATGCTTTTCCTCATCTGCCGAATTAGTTTGCTAGCTGTCTGCTGATGTGCTGCGAGTGGAATCATGCCAGGGAGCAGCCATCAGCCTGGCAGGGCCTTAATGTTTGGTTTCTTTGCAATTATAAGTCAGAAAACCTGCTTGGATGATACAGGATTGGTGTTGATCTTAGACTCTGGAGCCGCATTCGTTTGGCACGCATTCCGCTTATGTGACACACGTGCACTGCCACATCACACCTCTAGGACCTGGGTTCGAGTCTCCACTGTGGCTCCATAGCGTGTTGTCATGGGGTTTCCTCCAGGTGCTCTGGATCCCCCCCTCCCCCACCACACCCACAGTCCACAAAAATGCTGAGGTGAACTGGAGCTGCCAAAGTGTTCCCTGTGATGGGTTTGTACCTCATCCTGGGTTGTTCACTGCCTCACATCAATAAGCCTCCAGGATTCGCTCCAGTCCCCCGCATGACCCCGAAAAGGATAAGCAGTTAAAGAAAATGGATGATAAATACTGAGTTTGCATGTTTTTAACGTTGAAAAGTGTAACGTGTTTAGTAACTTGGCAAGGAGTGAATTTTCAGAGGACCGTGTGGTCAGTTTGTTTGGCCCCGTTATTGTTAATGTCAGCATACAAATAATACGTGCAAACAAACAAAGGACCCTAGACGCTGCGCTGAGACTGGCATGCCTGCATACAAAAAGAAATAAGCAAACAATCAAGTATGTTATTCTTGGTCCGGAAATCTTTCTTCGCTTGAGAATTTGATTTCCGAGAAATATGACACCGAAACTGCTTTTGCTTCAGAGTAGTCAGCAGCACTAGATGTTGCCCTGTCTGGCACTTTATGTGGTCAAGCACCGCGGACCTTTGAATTCCTAACGTGTTATTAGCTATTTTCTTCGTACGGCTCCTCCCATTGACTCCCCCCCCCCCTTAAAATCACACCTGTGAGAGGGGCTTTTTATTTTTTTCTGTGGTCTCCCTGAAAACACTGTGCTGTCAGATTCGCTGTCACATTAACGGGGAAGGGTCCACGTGCGGCTATGCGTGTGGGGGGAGATGGATCGCTATAACAACAGGAGCTGCGCGGCCCTGATGGCCCTTCAGGTATCAGAGGCGATGAGATGCCTTGCATCATCAGATCAGCTAAAATATAAACCCACAATCACGGCCATTGTTGCTGATAATAATGAGGACTACAGCAACATAACAGCAGCAGCAGAAACAACAACAACAAGAACAGCAACAATAATAAATAAAAAAACAACTTATATTCCCAAATTGTCTGAATATCTGTTTATTCATCTGTCTGTTTATCTTTCTTTTGTTCATTGGAATTGCATTTATTGCATTTACTATGTCGACTCTGTAAGCACGATTTAGAAATATGCCACGTGACAGTTTAAATATGTAGATCCGTTTAGAGGGGAATCCACTCCTCAGACTCATAACGGAAATCGTCGCGTCCCTGGTGGACAGGTATTTATTAAGGTATCACACTCCATTTGTACTTCAATTAATGCTTTTATCATTTTCTTATAAAAGCTCACGATCGCATATATTACAAATGAACAGCTCACTTCTCCTCACTACAAGGCTACATCACAGGGACGTCTTGATGAATCCCTCACCCGATTAGCTAAGACGTGCTTTCGCTCCGGAAGTATGTGGCCAAGGGGACATTAAACATCTGTGCAGCTGTAATTCGCTTAACTTTGACTTTTCCGTTTACAGACGCGTGTTTTTAAATGCTAAATATGTCAGTCCCGCGGTTCGGGGCTCCCCGGCTATTTAAAGCGAGTTTTTTGTGAGTTTGGATGCTGCTAGATAATCAGAAGCGTGTCCAGGGCATCGCATTCAGCGTCACTGACACTGCCGCTGTCAGGTGCCTGCGCTGGATGATTCCTGCCTTTCGAGTCATGGTTAACTCCACCGAGATCTGCTCAGGGTGACTTTAAACGTGATGGAACAATGAACGACTTTCAGAATCACCTTGATCACGTCTCCACTGCTGCATGGTGAAAACCGGACAGATGTCATCCAGATTTCATCTGCGCAAGTTTTTAAGATGTCCAATAAAAATAATCGGGTCTAAATATTTAAATAGTATTAATGCAAAGTGGTTTTTTTTTTTTCAACATTTCAGCATTTTCCTAAATGACTAGATTCAAATCTGGGCTAAAAACTGGACATTAGTATAATCATTTCACCAGCAGAACCACTTTCTGGTTTTTAGGTGAAATCTCTGGAGGGTACCAAAAATAAAAATCATCATTCGGCAAAAATGATGACCCTATAAAAGCAAATATACAGTGACAATGTGTTTTTGTATTAGTTGTTTGACCTGGTTGCATGCAATACAGTGTTGTGGTTTTATTCTAGAAATAATAATTAATCTTCCTCCTGCTTATCCAGTATTGGGTCAGGCGGGCCGTAGCTCTCCCAGGATGCAGGGGCAGCAAAGCAGGGCCAGACTGCTGGGACAGCAGGCCAGACGTGCAGAATAAAGTGCCTAGTCCCGTTCTGTCATGATCGTGTTAAACAAACATTAATTGCTTTGCTACACACCCTTTGATATAATCTCGACTGAACTTTATATTTTGGTGCCGTGGTTAAGAAAGTGACCTGTCCTTTTTTTTTACTGGGAAGGACTACAATTCATACAAGTCCCTGATCTGTGCATACTGGGTTTTACCCTAATATTTACATTTTAGACTCTTTCCCGAGATTGCGCTTAGGTTGACAGCCGTTCCAATTAGCTTTCAACCTTCAGGTCTCAGGAGACGGCAGATCCAACCCAGAGAGCATCAGGGACACCGACTGCACTCACGCCCCCCCAGACCGCAAATGGGGCCTGGTTTCACAAGTGTGGCTTTTGATCCAAAATTGTAACCGAGCACCGAACCTTGTGCCGGGGCCAGAGAGGACCATTGTGTCAGTGGAGGAGGTGGGTTGGTTTTTCCTCTATCATGAACATTCTGGTTCTGGGAGAGACCGTGGGGGCTGAACAAATCAGCAGGAGCTGAGAAACAGGCCATTCACACCCCCGCCCCTGTGCCTCCTGTCATTACCAATAAAGTCCTTTGGGGGCCGGGCAGATTGGTAACCCCATCCGGACTCCTCAGGAATGTAAAGAGACGACGACTCGTCACCCCTTCAAATTGATATTGTAGTTTCCGTGGTGACAGCTGAGGAGAACCACAGGTGTCACGGCGATGCCGTTACTGTGTTGTCATATTTCATTTAGGCATTCTTCTGCAAAGTAATTGCATAATTAGCTTGTTAATTAGGAGATTAGCATTTACTGATAGGATGACTTGCTCCGCGGCGACAGGGACATGGGTTAAGTGAGGGGCTTAGTGCCGAATCTCCCTTCAAACACGTCTCTTTTACTTGCTCTCTTCTGGGGGGTTGGGGCGTGGCAGCGAGGTTTGCGTATAAGAATTCCGATAAAGATAAAGTATAAACATCAATGCAGACAGAAATAAATAAACTGTGGCAGAATTGTGGCTAATCATTTTCCATGCAAAATGAGCCTAGTCACCTTGTCCTGTTAGCCTCAGAGCAGGTGGGCCTATATTACCCATAATTCATCAGCGCCCCCCCCCCATCGATACATGGTATGTTTTACTCTATGTCCCCCCATGAATAAACAAATCACTGGATAAATCACTCTCGCTGACAATACTCTTATTTTCTAGTGCCTGTTAACAGCACAGGTAGCGTTTTACACGTGTGTGTGTACATATGTGCGTCTGTTTGGCATGTGTACGCACACACACGTGTGTTTGGTGTGTGTCCTCAGTCCCGGCCTCCCATGGCAGCGGCAGACGGACGGCCCTCGCTGTCCCCGTCCGCATGTCGCCTGCCTGATCTCCTGCTGCTGACGGAGATTCGAGGAAACGAGACGAGTGGCAGCCCCGCAGACTTTTCTAACCGAGTTACGTGCTGCCCCTCTGCCGGTTGACGCGCTCCTTTATTTACTTTCCAGTATTCCATCCGTGTGCTGTCCATCGTCATTACAGGGCTCACGCGGGGCTCTCTATGGGAGGAGACAAGGCGCATGTGGTCGGGACCCCCTGCCCCCCCAGTGGTTGCTAGGGGCGCTTTCACTTAAGAACCTGACTTACTGGCTAAAAGATAGCTGGTCCAAGTTCAGTGATAGCTTTTCCAACATGGTTAGAACCTGTGACCCTTCAGTCACGACTGTAGTTTGCTGTATTGGACTAACTGTTTCAGGGCAGCATAAAGAACTTTCTAGACCCCAAAATGTGTTTCTTCTCTAAGGTTGATCTGCCAGGTTCTAGCGTAGAGTTTACGGTTCCCTCCATAGTCTTCAGGGCTTTCTATGATCCCAAGGCAGGAATGAATCTATTTTAGGCTCTTATGGCAAAGGTTGAGGATCAATAAAAGACACTAGATCTGTTACATGCTATCAGTTTCCTTTTTAGCTGTTATTTACAGAGTGGCCATTGCACAGTTAGAGTGCCAGTGTCCACATGATACATTCCTTTAGCAATGCTAATTCCTGCCATGTTCTTTCCTTCAGTCCATCAAACCAGTGGGGACCTGAGTAATTAGACCACATGTCAAAGAATTGAAGAAATACAGTACTATCAAAATATACTTAAAGGCAGGGGCCCATTTGCTCTTTTTGGGGGCCCACTCAAAAAGTCACTTTGGGACCCCTCTAGATATTTCACAAACTAAATAGAAATCTAGTGAGTAAAGCCTGCTGATCGTAGCTTACTAGCGGAATATGCTGTTTCAGCCTCTCCTAAATAATCTATTTAATATTTAATCTAGTGACTGTTTGTGGCCAACAGGGGGCCCCAAAGCCTTGGGGGTCCCAAGAAAATGCCTGGTTTGTATGGTAGTAAACGCCAAGAGTGCTTCAAGGTTAGATGATTTAATGTTCATTGTTGCCATTGTTAGAGTTTCATGCACCTCAGTCCAGCTGGGGTTCTGGTGGAAAAACCCGAAGGCACGAGTATAGCATTGTTGTGTAATTACTTAAGATGCCTCGTTTTGCGTGATTAATGGATAAATAATGGCCCCGTTTGGTCCTTCAGCTGTGATTGAGGCCGCTAAAGCATAGCACTAATCGGACGGCAAGCAGGCTGGATAGACAGTACGGGATCTCGCAGGAGTTCCCTGTGGAATGTGACATGCAAAAGAGCATGAGCTAGACTCTCTGAGCACGTAACAGGTGGCTGCACGAGCTACAGCTTCAAGGAAAGAGGTGAAGGAAGAACACATGGAGAGGATGAGAACTTCTGTTTCCAGAAAAGACTCCGTGTTGAGATCAGATGACAGAGACAATATGGCGGTTATGGGAAATCCCGCTATGATCCGTAGGCACATCCTGCCACCACATTTGATCAACGATGACATGGGCATGTCAGAGATGCTCCTGATTAACAGTGACATCCAGCTGGAGCAGTGCCAGTGAAAAGGGGGGGGGGCATTGTTCTTCAGCCGTTGGAATCAGAGACACTCCAGCAGCTGGGAAGTCCAGCCGATTCCGGTCAGGGTCAGAAAGACCCTCTTTGCCCAACAAGGTTTCCGAATCTGCGTTTAAGAATTCTGTTTATCTTCTGTAGCGGGGAAAATAAAAGCTGCCCCGTCCGTGTTTGAGTATGTCCCAGCACAGCGGAGGGCTGCCCTTTCCTTGCCATGGATCATTCCCGTCAAATGAGGTTTTGAGCAGCTTAAAGGAATGTGAAAAATAAGCTACAGGAGCAGACCTACTGTCCTTTGATTTATATTTCCATTTGCCCAAAGCAACTCAGCTTTCCACCGAAGAATTTCAATACTTCTCTCAGGGCCATAGTAGCAGGGAGCCCCCCCAACCGGCCTAGATCCCCACCAAATTTAACCAGAGTTCTGCGCACAAGCCGTCCAACAAACCCCGTTATTTGTGAGACACAATGAACAAAATAATCAGTACAGGTTATAATATGAGACATATTCCTTGAAGTCTGTCCATTACATAATCTTCTATTTCCTGTTTTTAGAAGGACTCTTTACTTGTTGACTGTTTTGCTGCAAAAATATTAGTTGTACGCAGCCAGTTATCTGCTGTGCTAGTTATAATATCTATTGTTATCTTTGAGTTATTCCCGTGCTCCAAACGGTTAACCACTTCAACCGTAAAAAGAATTTCAAAGGTTATTTAAAACAAAAAAAGGGAACAATATATATTTCCGGAGAAAACCCCCAGGGCAGGAAAACAGCGTGTTTTCATCTGAAATACTGCCTTTTATTGCGACTCTTTTAAGGCAGAAAATGGCCTGGTGTCACTGAGCCTGCAGGACTCTGAGAAGGGGCCGCACAATAACGGGCACTTTATGGGGGGGGGGGGGGGGGCACAGCCCAGCTGCCCTCGCGGTAGAGACTGCCGCCTTGGAGCCGTTTTATCCATTAGGGTGTTATTTATGTCCTGGGTCATGCTACGATGACCGTTCCTGCAGTGTGTATCCATGTTATACGGCTGGACTGTTTGCAGGAGCCATCAAGGTGACTTTGAGGGTAACAGCGATGCTGCACCTAGATCTCCTACCAAGACAGGCTTACATCTTGGGAACCCGGATGTCTACACAGCACACCCTGATCCTATGGCAGTAATTAGTCTAATTAACCTGATCGTGCTCTGGGTGTGAGATGTAATGAGCCCTGCTTTTTTTGGCCCAGGCTGGCCCGCTCCTCCAGGGCCCCGTGGCTGACTTTCGGCTCCTTCCTGAACCGCCAGGAGAGGACGGGGACCCGAGGCTGAGAGGCACCCAGAGCGGCTGCTTCTCTGGAAAGTCGAGACATACGGGAGAGATCAGGGACAGCCAGTAAGCAAGAGGTGAAGGTGAGAGGTACGCGGCTAAAATACTCACCGCGATCCATCATAGTCACGGCGTGCCGTCCCCAGACTCCGGCTGTTACCTCCTTTCGGTGAATGTGCTTCCCTTACCCTGGATAGCTGCACACTGTCTGAACCCGGGGTGAAGTGTCCTCCTAATATGTGCTTATGCAGTGGTTGCACTGACCTTTAAAATTAGCCTGTGGGCTAACACAGTTGCATAGCCCAACTCCAACAGGCTACAGACAAACAGGTAGCACCGTCAACCTCTTTGCAGATTAAGGCCATGGTTTATACAGTGGGGTGTGCATAGGACGGACATGTCCCTTTCCTGCTGCCCACTGTGTGCTGAGCGCCTTGCCAAGCTTAAATATTACCCGTACACACAGCTGGTATTTACCGAAGCACTTCGAGTTAAGTACCCTTCTTGAGGGTACAACAGTAATTCCCCTCATGAGATTTTGGCCCAAGGACTCCTCAGCTACATCACATATGCAGGTTCAGTCCACGAACACCAGCCTCTGTAACCCGCGCGGGGGGGGGGGCAGCAGAGGATTCTTTTGTTGAATCGCTTAGTTCCATCCTTGTGAGCTTGTAAGTGGGCCTCACCTTAAGTGCAGCATTAAAAGGCCAATCCAGCAGCAGCAGGCGACCTGCCGACCTCCAATGGGGTGTAATTGTCTTCGCGTATATGGCAGGTGCTCGAGCGACAAAGGCTGAGGAAATTAATAATGTGTCACGACACTTCGTCTCGCCGGTAAAGCCGTCCTGAGGATGGAAGGGGCAAGAAAAAAAAGAAAAAGCAAAGTCGTTCCGGAGAAAGGCACCGAGGGAAGGAACGGATTCGAGGAGGGATGCTGCCGCGGGTGGGAGCCCTACAGGAAGATCGCTCAGGATCTCTGTCGGCGCGCATTTGCAGCTTCACTGCTGCAGGTGCCATGGAGAAACGGACTGCTGAGCGGCGGAAGGACGGCAGAAGACCCTCTGATTCATTCTTCACCACGTCCTCAGCAAGCGCACGACGATAGATTGGGGATCTCTGTGTCCCTGGGTGCAGACTTCCAGGCCAGGAAGAGCCTTGTGCTTCTAGAACGATCTAGGGTGCATTTGGACAGCCGTGGACTGGGTACATTCATTTCATTAGACGGTAGACTTTAAATTAGAGCTGGCAGAAATAAGGCTTTGAAAAAAAAAATCGGTGGTAATGCAATTATTGTGGGCTGTCAATCACCGATGATTTAACCCACTTCCCACTGGCTACTTAATTGGTTCTTATTGGGTTAAATTAGGCAGTGATTGACACAGTTCAGCCCACTGCTGCTTTTGAAGCGTCGTTTTTCTCATCATTGGGTTCATATGGCATCACACCTGTCGACGATTACCGTGTCAGATATGCTCTCGATTGGCCAATGATGCCGCCTTGCGAGTCATTTCTGGAACATTCTTCAATCTGGAGCCTTTCGCTCTTCCACACTGTAATTTTAGGAATACGAAGGAGATGTTGCTCACTAGCTATGGCTGTGCCTCCTGACAGACTCTCGATGCTACCCGGGACAATGACTTCACCACTCAGTTGGATAACGTCCTCGTGAAAATAATAATTGAGCATTCTTTCTGTGAAGCACCAAGCCCTTGACGGCCACCTTCGGCGGGTATGTAATCATAGCGGCTTGTTAGCCCTCAGCTCTCTGTGACACGTTGCTGTTCCACGTCTCCTCCCTTCCAGCACGTGCCTGTGTGTATTTCAAAGTGGTTACTCCCCGTGGTCCGTTGTTTGTCAAGCTGAGATGGAGATGGTGACAGATTATTGATCGGGTTATAGTTGCCTTTCAAGGTGCAGTTAAGTAATCCGTTCTTAGCCAGGAATCATCTTACAATATCCCTGTCAAAATATCCTGCGTGATGAATACAGATGGTTGGCTCCTCTCCCGCCTGGAGGACCTCGTGTGACGGCAGAAGGTGGGGTGCTGGCCAGACGAGGAAACTCATCCCACTCAGCACCTCCAAGCACTGCATTCTTCTGTCACTCTCTTACATTTTCTGGCTCGGCCACAAATAACGACTACAACTTTTTTTAAAACAAGATTCCTTCGATCCGCTACATCTGCCAGGTGCTTGCAGATGAGTGATCCCTGGTTCCTGACGACTCTTCCCTGTCATGCCCCGTGCGCTTGGGGCTCCCCCTCCGTCTACCACGGCTAATGTCCTTGCCCAGCCTCCTCAGGTTATCAGCACGGGTACTGTTCCTTATATTTGACACTTGACTGTACTTAAGTTTGAGCTAATAGCACATCTGACACAGCCTGAATATAGTATTCTTGGCCTATATATGTATTTCTTTCCCCAGAAATGTAGGTTCAACTGGGAAGCCGTGGAGGTCGCTCCCTGACGTGAGAGGTGATTAGTGTTCCAGCGTCTCCATTGTTGCCACGGGAACCTTGTGGAGTCTGGCTGGAGCGGCCCTGGCAAAGACCCAGCCTAAGAACATCTTATTTGATCAGTACATGCCCAGAGCCGGTGCTCCTTCCCTGCCAGCTCACGTCACTCTCCTACGCAAACTCTGTGTCCTGAGTCACAAACGCTACCTTTCTCTGAAGGAGGCTTCAGGAATTTCAGATTTCTATGAATACGAGACTATGCTCATACAAATGTGGCAAATACATGAAAATATTCAGGATATCACCCATTATGAAATTATACTGGGTGTCTGGCCTTGTTATATTTGTGACAGCATTAAGGTATTTGGCTGAAATCTGATTTATCTTTCTGTGGAATTTATTTCATTCACAAGAGGGATAATAAAATAGAAATTTCACGGTGTATCAATAAAACCGAAAATATTTATTGGAGTTTCTATATATATGTTTCATTGTTATTTTTGTTATAAATCTGTATTTTATCTCTTCAGTGTCATAACGGTACACTCAAGTACCCAGAAGGATATGAGATCTTTTAATGTTCTCGACAAACATTATATCGCAGCTCTATGAGGTAGAAATAAGGAACCGAGTCATGGAGTAGCGTAATCACACTGGCAGACTTGCAGGCTACTCTGACACTGATTCATGCACATATCACGTGCCGCCAGACTCTTCCCCACCGAATATTTGTCTTTTGCATGAATTAAACATTGTGCAAAGGTCACGGCTGTTTGTGTCTAAATCACAGCAGGCCGGCTGGCCTGAGCTGTTTGGCTTGGTCCTATTGACATAATGCCAAATATGACACCATAACTCAGTGGACCGCGATGGTCAATTGATAAATAGTACCATAAATTGTTGACAAAACAATTTGTGATATATTATGTTACAGATGGGTTGTACTACTTATCAAATCAAGTAATCTGGCAGCACACTCCATTTATCAGTGAGATGCAGGCATCAGCCTCCAGATGACTGTCTTTACGTGGGGAGGGTCCCAGGGTACCCCAGAGAATCCTGGGAGTGTCACGGTGGGGCACACAACGGAGGCGCTCATCTTGGGGCTATCCGATTCAAAGTTCAGTCAAACAAAAATTGCTTAGTGTTTTCGTTCGGTCTTTTGGTTCAGCCTCTGAGCTTGATGGGCCACTTCCACCCCAGGAAGTTTCCGGGTTATTTGTGCTGCGTCTTACATGTTCTTTAAACTTGAAAAAAGAAAAAAAAAACAAACTGGCAAAACTCAGAGCGGCAGAACAGCCTTCCTGTGATGTAAACCCCATGATCAATAGAGGCCTTTAAGTGCAATCTCTGTTCAGACGTGTGTGACGTTTCAGTGTATCCTCCTCTTAAATGGTGCTCTTCCCATAAGTTAATATAATTTTATTTATTGATGAAAATTTTCATTTGACTTTGCCTCACATTAGCATTTTTCAACAACCATTAATACTGATTTATTCCTGCAGAAGCAGATTCATCACTGAAGAGTTTACATTTTAATATTCTCCCCCGTGTTAATATTGTTTTTATGATACCTTGCGATGCTTTATGATTTATAAATTATGCGGTACAAAAATATAAAATGTGAAACGAGGATGATGATGTTTACAGAGAGATTGCATTTACTACGGCTTTTGCCGAAGGAGACGCAGAAAGCTTGTGTTTAGTCTTTATTTTCTGCTTATTTTGCAGTTATTGTTGTTTCGCTGGTTATTCATTATACTATTGTTATTATCTTGTTTATTGTTTTCTTGTATTTCTTGTAGCTTCATTCGTTGTATTCAGGTTTTTTTTTTCTCAGACTGCACTGCCTGAGCCATTTGCTAATAACTCCAGTAGGTATCTTTGTTACACAGCACCTGTGCCTTTAAGTCAAACATCATCTATCAGTAGAATCTGTTTATTTTTAGTGTCAAAGTTTTAATTTATTCGGCCCTTATTAACAAGTCTGCAGAGACTAATCAGTGGATTCTCTTTATTTGTTGTTTTGCTATTTTTTCAGTATTTGGATTTAGATTCCCGTGCTGAACAATGTTCCTCTGTGTCAACCAGCTATGCCAGTGTCCCTCTCCATCTTCTGGAGTGGGAGGGTGAGAGGCCCCTCAGCACACTCCTGCGGCCTCACAGTCAGTGCTGGTCATGGTCTTTTGACATCCTGCCATGCTGCTCTGTCAAGAGGCTCAAATTAAGGAGATAGGACTGGGCACTTAGATGGGAGAACTCTGGGGAGAGCGCCGCCCTGCTGGCCCATTTTGCCGGGACCTGTCATTCTGCATACCTGTCACCTTGCTGTTTGCAAATTGCAGCCTCTGCAGGAATTAGAATTGATCACTATTAGTGAAGATGAAGAGGGACGGGGATCAAGAAAAAAAAAGTCCGAGGTATTTTTAGTGAGGTAAGATAAGGTATTTTTAGTGAAAAACATGCAGTTCATCACAGTGAAACAATGCATGCTGTTACAGGGGACAGCGGGCACTACCCCTCCTCCCCTGTAGAGGGCACCCACTAGTTATTCTCTCAGTAACTATACAGGAAGTTGTGGAAAGCAAGAAAGGGGTTTTTGTCTTTCAATACAAACCTAAACTGACCTCATTCCACTGCCATTGCTAAATGGAGGGATTTAAATTTACCCAGACCCATTAAGATTTAGGCTTCATGACTTGTTAGAACTGTTAGTTGGCTATGCTTTTTTAAGCATAAACTTTTAGAGAGAGGGAGAGAGAGAGAGTGAGAGAGAATGCCTTTTGTCATTGTACTGCTTGCAAGTACAATGAAGTTTCAGTCTTTGCATATTCCCTCTTGCTCTCCTGTGCGATGCACACAGACATTTACAGATGAGAGTGATTTTTTCAGTCAGAGCGCAGGGTCAGTCATTTTTTTCTTGTCCCTAGAGCATTTGGGGTTAAGGGTCTTGCCAAAGGCCCCAAAGGAGATGTGATTATTCTACCGTCCACTGATGCAAAAACTTTCAATGAATACACCAGGTACAGTAACTGTTTTAATAGTTTCGCCTGTCATTGTACCATCACGTTACTGCAGGTTAGTGGCGCAAAGAAATGAGAGCCAGACGGAGGCATCAGACTTCTTGCTAACCACGTCCAGGGGTGGAGCTTACAGAGCGGGGCCCAGTGTGAGCCACCAGGACTGCCAGCACTGATAGCTGGTTTTTTGTAAACCTTATGGATAGCCATACACCGCCTTTTACAAACCCAGGGGCAAGTGCAGTGACACCCAGGAGGTCTGCAGAATTCATGGACCTAGACTTCACAGCAGGGCCATTTGTCACAAGCCATGAACCTCATCAGAAGGTGGCTGACTCCCACAATCAGCTATTCCTAGATAGTGGACCTGGATCTGAGAGATATGGAGACAAAACCAGATCCATTCCCGAGGGACAATCAAGCTCCTCCCCCTAACCCTAATGATTTAAACTTACTGTGCCATGTGCAGAAGTTAGATAAATAATATACCCCTTTAGAACAGCAATTCCATTCATCTCATTGATCAACAACTTTTTGAACTGAGACTAGGCACCCTAAAATTGTGACTCCATTATACACCGGCAAGAAGACCATTTGCATTTGAAGGAGTAGAGAACCTCTACTGTTGACTACCTTAAAGGATGTGACAAGTAGAGAAAAAGACGGGTTCGTCAAACTCCAGCTCCACACCCCAATACTTTGAAAACATTGTGCTTTTTGCACAACCTACTAGTTCAGCTCATACACCACAACTTCTAGCCAGCCGGATGCAAGGGACTATCAGGTCAGTGGATGAATTGGTAAGGATGCTGCTAAGGGGGAAATCAGGCCCTGCCCAGTCTGACGTTATCATTGCCAACGTGGAGGTCATCAGGGTCATGATACTTCTTGTTTTCATTTCATCACTTCATCTCTGCACTTGTGGACTCTGGACAGTTTTCCTAATAAGGGAATCGTTGAGCCAACAAAACGGGATCTCTAAAGGCAAGGATTACAATAAATTCCATCAAATTTTGCTACTGTCCGATGGCCACATTTAAAGAGCCATGGAATGGCTCCATAGGATCAGTGCTTTTGACCCTCCCTCACTAACTGCTGAGGATCTCAGACCACTGGTAGGTCTGAGAGGGGAATGGATGAGTCCATTAGAATGACGTCTAGGTTCAAAAATGATACTGCCTCTTTCCTGATGGAGATTGTTCTTCTGCACCTAAAAGACAGATGTTGTTTTGTGCACACAGTGGTACCTCGGTTCCCGAACTCATTAGAACTCGAATTTCTTAAAAGTCGAAGCAACCAGTTCGAAAAAAAATTTACCTAGAACTCGATCTGAACCTCAGGAGTCAAACCGTGAACGCCGACCGAATGTGCGGGGAAATGAGTCACGCGGCACGTCTCTCAGCGGAAACATAGGGTAACGCTTCAGTCTAAGCTTCACATTCGCTGTGATAACATCCTGCATGTTTACACTAGCTGAATACATATATTTAGACAGTAAAAATACATTTAAAGAACGATAGACAGTAACAGTGATTATTATATAATAAAATACATTTAAAAAATAAAGATTTCTTATTAATTATTTGAATATTAATAATAAACCATTAATACATTTAATTATAATAATATTGTCGTGCCGAGCGGGGACAGAACGGAGACAAAGGCGCAGATGTCAGGATATCGGGGAATACGGGGTTTAATTACAGGTAAGGCAGGCAAAACGCAGACGGACAATACAATGACCGGACTGGGGAAACCAACTGAAACACTGACGAAATACAGAGGGCTAATGACAACAATCAGAAACAGCTGATCACACAGGGATTCCACACGGGGTTAACGAGGGGGCGTGGCACATAGAAGGCGCGACACATTGTTTTTTTTTAACTTTACACATTGTTTGGATAATTTTATTTTCTTACTTTAGAAATTACTGTTTTGATAAATGTGCTTAGATGTGTTTAGTACAGTATATGCTCTTCTTGTTTTATCCGGTTCATTTTGTGTTTAAATGCTTAAAAAAAACAATTAACCAATTAATTGGTTTTCCATTATTTCTTATGGGGAAAATTCGATCACAGCTCGAACTTTTTAGGATTCGATCCGGAGTTCTGAACGGATTAAATTCGAGTTCTGAGGTACCACTGTATTGACAATGTGAAGGCCTTTTCCTTCAAGGTAGATTAGCCCTAATGGAATTCAAACTAATGCAGAAAAGACCTGGGTCATGAATGACTTTCCCACTCCTGTGGTCTACCAGCAATACAAACTAACATTCTCTGCTTGCCAGTAAGCTACAGTCAACACGCATAAGTCAACATGGACATAAGCTAGGAGTTGAGCTGATGGAACCTCAACCTATAATTGCAAAAAAGCACGAGTATTTTCTGGTCTTGGCTGACTATTGCTTTTACCACTCTGTACAGCTGAAGCTCCACAAATTATCATAACCCTAGGT